AGTGCCTGGCAGTCTAGCTGGCAGAATGATGCAGGAGCAGGGTAACTGTTGCAGGTACGCGGCCAAGCCCAGAGCACAGCTGGAAGGGAGACAACCCTGGGCTTACAGTGACTTCGGGGCAGCCTGTGAGCGGAACGGCAGAGAGGAAGGTAGAGGTGGCGAGGGGCTGGACCCTGAGGCACCAAGTGAAGGGTCGGGCACTGTCCTGAAAGGAGCAGGGGCTGTTGGAGGCGTTTGGCGGGGAGTGACAGGACCGGACTTGCGTTTTGCAAAGACCACGCTGGCTGGACCTTGGACCTGGCTGGGAGGGGATGCACTTGGGGCCGGGAGGCCACCAGTGCAACCGGAGGTGATGGTGGCCTGAAAGGGGAGTGGTGGTGGGGATAGAGAGACGATAGATGCAGAGGCGGCAGAATCAAAGGTGTTTTTAGACTCGGTGCATAAGGGGGTTAAGGGCAGGTCAAGGACAACCATGGGCTTTGACTTTGAACTGCTGGATGGACTCATGATGTCATTTCTGAGACAGAGGCACAGGAAGAGCAGGCCTGTGGGAAGATGATTTCAGTTTGGACATTTTGTGCCTCTGTGCTAACCATGCGTGGGCAAACAGCTTTATCATGAATTCCCAGCTGCTTCTAGAATGTGTACTGAGCAGTGTGCCCTGGCATGTCAGAGGGTAGGGTCTGTGCTGGGCTCTACCCTGGGGAGAGCAGGCCAGAATCCTCCTGCCAGGAAGGTGACGCATCCACTCCCTTTCAGGAATGGGGACACCGTGGTCCCACGGAGCTGCTTCACCAGGGGCTGCCAACCGTATGAACAAGCTTGGGTTTCTCCCATCTCCTCTGCACTGGGGAGGGGGCTCTGATTCCCAGCCCTTCACTAGCTTCTCTCTAGACCCGGGCTCAATGGTTTTCAGAGTGAAGAGGGCAAAGTACGATATATGTTCATGTCCACGATCTCATTCAGTCTTCCTCTATATCTGGTGAAGATGGTACTCCCATCCGATTTTAAAGATGAGGAAAAGGAGGCTCAGAGAGGTTAGGAGACTTGTCCCCGTCACACAGTTGTACACTATGCCTCAAAGTATCTTTACCAGATCCTGTCTTTGCCACTCATGGAGACAGGGTGGCTGCTGTCCAAGCAGAAGGCAGCATAGAGACAGAGCTCCACAGAGTGGGGGCTCAGGGGCAAGGATGAGAAGGGAAGAGGTGTGAAACCACAGGAAGGGGCTGTGCACACCCCACAACATAGCTGCCTGGCCTTGGGAACCCTCGTGGCCCCTCACCCTAGGCCTACAAAATCGAAGGTCAGACGAGACAAGCCTCACCATTTCAGGTCAACCTGGATTTTGTTTTTTGGTTCAGAAGCAGGTAAGAACAGGTGCAACCTTGCTTCTCTCTCCTTGGACATGCAGGTAAGAAATATGATCACCTTTCTGCAGCTCAGCTCACCGCTAGTCTGGGGCTTTAAAAGGTCTCTGGCTACCCTGTTAGCCACCAAGAACCCTTTGTGGAAAAAGATAGGGGATGGAAAAAAATGACACCAATAGATTGCACCTGTGCTCTGACACAGCTGGGCTCACGTGCAGTGACATCAGACTTCGCTCATCTCACAAGGCCTGGCGTCGGCCACCAGCTCTGCCTTTGGATTGGTTCATGGTTTCCAATCCAACAAGACAAGGCCTCAGGTGTTTTATGACAGAATTCAAATGGAACTAATTCTTTTTTCCTCCCTTATCACTTTGCACACATGAAATCTATTTTAATTAGTTTTCAATACATAATCTTTTTTTTTTTAAAGAATGAAATCCTATGGATTGTTCCCACCCACAAATTGTTCTTAGAGAAAGAAAGATTTATCTTATAAGTTTCCTAAGAAAATCTATATGTGCTCAATGCATTTAAATAACACTCATTAACGCGAACTGCATGCAAGCTGGCTTCTCTAGTCACAGATGAGAGACAATCGCTTGACCTATTGCAAATCAAAAAGCATTTCTGCACCACCTTTATTTTTCAATTGGTTAAGTTTTGAATTAAAGTCCCAACGCCCTTTTTGGGAAGGCAGACTAACATAGCCCCAACAGAAATTTCAGCTCAGTCGATTGGAAGATAATTATAAGAAACAAAATGTGAAATTTTAAATCAGGGCACTAATGAAGTCTAAAAATACCGGTGGCCCATCCCTCTGGCTGGCGAGACCTGTTCCTCATGGAGGGGATCTCTCCATAATTACCCAACCCCGTGAGAGGCCAGGTTGTCATGTCAAACAATAGAGGAAAAATCGTGGGACTTTAATGAGCTAGATCTCAAGGAGCTCCATGGTGAATCTTATTATAATGCCGGGCAAGCTTTCAAACAGAGAACAGGAGAAAAGGAAAGTTCTTTTTTTTTTTTTTTCTTAAGTGGAGCTCTGACTAGTGTTGATGTCATCATGCAGTGCCTCCTGGTTCCCACTTGGAGCCAGCTGTCTGTCATTTAGGAGTGTGAAATCAATTGAGTTTTGGAGATGTAAAATCCCTAGGGGCAAAATTAAAAGTGACCCAAATCCAAACCCACATGGTCTTGTCAGGAATATGATTCTCACATGGCAAGTTTCAAAGATTTGGTTTCAAAATTCTGGTTTCTTATTTTAAAAAATATGCAGTTGTTTGACATTAGATCTGACAGACAAATTATAGCTTTAGCAATAAAGGCTTTTAAGATTAGAAATGAAAAGAGAAATTACTTAAAAAAAAAAACAACAAAAAAAACACAACAACCCACCCAGGCTTGAGTTTGGAGACATTTGTATGTTCATGCTTCATTGTCTTTCTTCGCCACAGATATAAGGGGATAAGTCAGCTGATGAGGGCCGTAAATAGAGAAGTGAGTTGAATGTAATTTCTGGGGAAACCACCATCTCACTGGTGAACTATGGAAATCAGCGTGACAGATGGGTCACCGGTTGTTGTCGGCTGGAGCCGGGGTGGGCAAGGCGGGTCTCACTGGTCTACCGGAAGGCAGGGCTGTGGACACCTTCTAGGATTACCCCACGCCTGGCTCTCACCTAGCACTGAATCCCCCCTAGAGGGGCTGGCAGAGCGAACCCCATTGGGGGCTGTCTCTCTTCTTCCTTCCTGTCTGTGGGCTTGGGCTTACCACAGAGGATGCTTCATGCCCTCTGGCCCCAAAAAGATGTTACAGGTGTGGTTCTGCAAATGGCCAGCTGGCCCAGTGTGCACAGGGGCCAGCGGGGGCCTGTCTCTACCACCTGTAACTTCCTGATCTTATGGGTTCAGGTGCCTGATGATGGATGCACCTGTGCCTGGCAACTTTGGGGAGGCGGATCCCAGTTCTGTGCTGAGCCCCAAACCGTGGACTTCAGACCCAACGGGGCCAGTTACCTTTCAGCCTAGAATAAGTCCTTTTCTTGGATGCATTGTCTGAAACTTGGCAAATTGCCAAGACCTTTCATCAGCCCTAGGAGGCCTCTGGGGGTGGCGGCAATGCCCCCAGTGGTTGGGGGAGGGAAGCCCACCCAGTGCCTTAGGCTTTGGCAGGAGCAGCTAGGATACCCAGTTCTCAATGTATCAGAGCTGGAAGCATACAAACTGGGAGTAAGTTTTTTTTTTTTTTCTTTTTAAAGGGAGAGAGAGCTTAACCAAAACAATTCAAACAAAAAATCAATTTAGTCAATTTTTTTTTAAAAGATCTTAAACAAAGCAAGGGTTTACCAGAATTTAGATGTAATTTTCTATAATTTTGTCATTTAAAACTAGTGCTGATTTCCAAAACAAAGGCAGTTGGGGCGCAATCAGATTGGGAATTAAACCCAATGGAGATCTAGACACGGCTTTGTTGTTGGGATGCTTGACGAGGTCTGAAAATTGCTCAAAAGGATAAAGAGAGAGATGCATGAGAGCAGGCAGGAAAGAAGGGCTAGTGGGACTCGTTCTCTGCGAAGAGGCAGGGACCCCTGCCAGGCTACCTCCAGGAGCTGTTGGCAAGGAGAATGAGAGGGTGTGCCCAAAGGTCCACACTTCCTAGAACCATCTACTGTCCCCTACGAGGCCTGTGTGCCCCAGCAGGGAGACTGCCCACCATATGCCCTCTTGCCTGCAACTGGGTCCAGGCCTGGCTGCCTCCCCTCCCCACTCGGCAAGAGAGGGGCCTGGCTGTCTGGGGCTCTAAGGGATAGCGAGCAAGTCTGGGGCAGATGCACCCCACCAGCCTAACATCTGTGGCCCCCGGTCCTCCTGCCCCCTTCCGCATTCTGGCTGGGTAGATAGATCCCTCGGTCAGACGTCAGGAGCGATGCTCTTTGTCGTAACCCTATGGCTGGGGGCTCATCTGCAGGCTCCATTCTCAAGGATCTGCCTTGAAAACAGGAGGTGCTCTTTCCCGGACCCTCACAGAGCCGCCCTTGAGTCCTTGAAACAAAATAACCCAAGTGGCTCAGGACGGACTGTGAGTGTCTCTTGGGGAGACATTCCTTTCACCTAACATCTGGGGAGCTGCTCTCCTCCAATGGCACAGCACAGGGCGCCTTTCTAGGGAAGGACACAGTTCACGTCCTGACTGTTCTCATGGGTGGAAAATGGAAAAGGCCCCACAAAAGACTGTTTCATGGAACCCTAAGAGGAGCAGATGATTCCTGCTCATCCCACACTTGGCCTGGCTTTGGGGTGAGAGGTGAGAATGGCCTAAGGCTTGGGCTAGAGGCAGAAGGACCCTGGACCTGGCAGGCTCTCCCCTCCCTCCCTCTCCTTGCCCGCCCACATGTCCTCGCCTAGCTTGTCCTTCCCTCCTCCACTTTCCCCTCTGCCTCCTCTGTCTGAGGCCGGGCTGTCTCGGGCAAGGGGAGGCCCCACTACTGCTTCTGGGTTGGGTGAGGCCAGTGAGGGAGCTGCCGGAGAGCTCAGGATGCCAGGAACACACTCCTGTCTGTGCTGTGTCGTGGTGACCACTCAGGGAGGCACAGGTGTGGGCACACGGGAGCATGTGAGCAGCGGGACTTACCTTTGGGGTGCCCAGGGTCGGTGAACTCATACTTCCCCACGCCAATTGTCCGCAGCATCTGCAGCCCGTGGGCCGAGTCAGTCGTGGGGGGCCCATTGGTGGCAGGGGCACCGCTGGGGAGGGTGGCAGACGGCTGGGCTGGTGCTGGTGGAGGCAGCAGGGGCCCTGCCATGTGGCCGTTGCCCACGGCAGTGGGTCCCGGACGGGCCACCTGCCCCACGCCAGGCAGCGTGGACATGGCCAGGGGCTGCGGGCTGGCGTACAGGGCCTGGGCCGGCATGTTGACCACCACGCTACTCAGTGGCTGAGAGGGTGGCTGTGGGAGCGAGTAGTGGCCTGGCATCAGCGGGAGCTGGGGCCCCACGTGGGGAGGCAGTGAGGGGGTCACCCCAATGACTGGGGCCTGGACGTTCACAGCCGGGCTGAAGGTAGGAGGCTGGGCCACTCCATAGGAGTGTGCGATCAGGGCAGGCTGGTTCCCGGCGGCCACCGTGGTCACCCATGGCCCTGTGCCTGCAAGGGAGACAGAAGAGAGGTCATCTGCCGGATACACATTCACTCAATAAACACCGACTGTCCCAGGCCCTGGGCTGGGTGCTAAGGTCACCGAGGTGGACAAGACACCTGCATCCAGGACCCCCCAGATGAAAAATCTGTGATTACGGTAGCATGGGGGTACATGAGCAGATGGTCGTGGAGGCTCAGAGGGGGAGCACGATCTACACAGAGGCAAAAACACAGAGAGAAAAAAGCAGAGTCCTTCAAAGAATCCTCGGTTCAAATCTTGGCTCTGCCATTCATTAGCCAGGAGCCCTGGGCAAGTTGCTTTTCTTCTCTGAGCCTCATTCTCCCCATCTGTCAAATGGAACCAGCAACACCTACCTCAGAGGTCTCCTGGGAAAAATTGAATGAGGGAAATGTATTTGGGGGAAAAAAAAACTAGCAGAGTGGCTGGTATGTGTTAAATGTTCCATAAATGTTGGTGTTTTTCCTTCCTTTCTGGAGAATAGCTGTCTGGAGGAGGTGGGGAGAAAGCTAGATTGTGAAGATAGTAGGTGTTTCCTGGGCAAGGCGAGAACACCAGAGCCTGGAGCTGTGCAAGAGCCCTGTGGTGCAGGAAGGGGGAGCAGGAGGTGGGGGCAGTGGGGGAAGGCTGGCAGCGGCTGTTTTCCACTGCCTTGCTGGGGGACCAGGCTTTCTCCTAAGCAGCCTCTGCGTGGCCAACCCTGGGGGAAACAACAGAAATGCATTTTGGCCCTTAAAGATATTTTGACTGAACAAGGGGGTCCAGACACACGTCCTGAGACTTGATACAAGATTCGACACCAGCTGTGCCCAGGTCTGGCAGAGCAGGGCCAGGTTCCCCTGAGCTGAGCAGACATTGAGGTGACCCAAGTGGGCTTGTGAGTGAAGCCAGAAAATACTGTGACGAGGGAGGGCAGTCTGGGTCACCTCTGACCGAATGAGTGTGGGGTTAGGTCTCCATCACCCAAATGCCACCTTGGTTTTCAGGATGCCACGGGAGTGGCAGTGTAGACTGGGGGCAGGGAGTCTGAGGAAGAGAGTGGGGGACAGGGAACCACTCAGGACCCCTAGTTCCAGAGGCTAGAAGGGGAGCTGGGAGCTCTCTGACAGGAAACTAGAAGCTGGAAAGTGTTGGTGAAGCAGTGCCAGCAAGATTCTAGAACAGGCTGCTAAGGGGGACTGTCCCCAAGCCTGAAGAAGAGATGGTATCACTGTGAGCTAGGCTGCTGTCTTAAGGACAAGGCATGCCGTCCTAAGGCCACTTCTCTCCAGGATCAGCCACGGAGCCTGGAACGAGCCACCAGAGCTTCGGAACACAGCTCGTGACTTCTCTGATAACTCTGGTGAAGGTACGAGATGCCGGGCCATGGTGGTGAGTGACTTATGAGCGGGTGATTGGCTCAGAGGATGCTGGGGACCGGAAGGAGGTCTCTAGTGATGTGGACCGAGTCCTGCTCATCACTTTTACCAATGATTTGGGTGATGATAGGGAAGATATCACCGCCAACTCTGCAGGTGGCATACTGGGAGGGTTAGGCACAGGTCAGCAATAAAAGCTGGAATCAAGAGTCATAGGGGAAGGTACTGACAGGGACTTGCCCTTGGGTCCCCAACACCCCTCTGCCTAAGGTAGACTGAGAGAAGATGGACAGGGGTCAGGGTTACTGCCTCGACAGTCTTGGGGTCTGACTGGTGACAGCGCATGTCTGTGGCTAGCAGCAAATCAGAGGTGATCTAAGACTGCAGTGGTCAAAGTGGAGGGGCTGAATGAAGGGGTGCAGGTCATAGCACGTGTGGGTTCTTTGTGTGGGGCTCTGGCACCGATGGAGGCAGAGGGAGAGGTCATTCTCTGGAGGGCAAAGGAACTGTCCGCCACGGGCTCTGGAGTGTGGCTGAAGGGCCAAGGGTGTTTATCCCGCAGAAGACTTGGAGGGGGGATGGGTGGGTGTCAGATATCTGTAGGGCTGTGGTGTGAACACGGATGTGTCCTGTGTATCCTAAGGGGAGGTCTGGGACCGATGGGAGACAACAGGGAAGGCTTTTGTCATGGTCAGGGCCGACCAAAGAAGGCTTGGGGGGACGTAGGAGGTGGGGAGCCCCCGGCCCCAGGGGGGTGGAGCATCCCACTTCTCATGTAACCGTTGGCAAGGCAAAGCCTCCCTGGAAGGTGTGACTGGAGAAGTGGGTGAATCAGAGTCCTGAGGTTTGGGAATGACTATTCAAAATAACACAAAGCAGATTCAAAGTCGCTCCTGGGATGTCAGTCTTACTTCCTCAGCCTCCCCAAAGCTTTCTCGAGTAGCAGAGAAAGCGGTAGAGACGCAGCTACTGCCCAGGCTGTACAGCGTCCCGGCCCCCATGCAGGTGTGGGCTGCCGCAGGCCCATGGGCCAGGGCCTGCTGAGGAGTCACAACATCCAGGAAGCCTCCAAACCCCGCTCCCAGCCTCCACGTGGGAGTCTCTGGCTGCCGGCCAAGTACACACCTGGATTGTCGCTCTCCCTCATCTGTTTGGAGGGCGGCTCATCAGTGTCCCAGGGCGTGGACTGATTGATGGGCGTCTGCCCCCACCGGATGCTGGTCGTGAGTCCCTGGGACTGACTATCCGCTTTGGAGATGCCGGGAGCCTGGGGAGAAGCAGAGCAGGGGGATGAGCGTGGCCTGGCGTGGGCTGCTGCCCTGGGGGCCCGTCCCCTGAGCACTACTCCTGCTGCCTGAGCCACAAGGCCACACCCAGGGCCACCTGGGAGATGCGGGCACTATGGGTAAACTCCCGCCCCCAGGAACACCCAATCCAGCGCCCCCCCCGCCCCCCCCAGCTGCCACCCTCTGCGACCACCCAGTCCACCTGAACTATCATAAAGGAAAGTGTCCTGTGCTGTGAGATGTGAAGTCCCCCAGGCCGTTGGGTTGTTAATAAACTGCAACATTTATGGGCATGTGCTGAATACCAGCTGTGTCCTCAGTCTAGGCTCAGTGCCACCACGTGTCTGGCCTTCTGACATGTGAGAGGACGGCTTTCCAAAGCACCACCATTGGGCCCCATATCAGCCACTGGGCCCCCCAATATGCCAGTCCGTGGAGGAGGCGTGGGGGGTGGGGTGGGGACTGAGGCTCATGGGAGGACAGCTCAGAGCAGGGAGCATCTTCCCTGGGACCCTCTTTGTTGTGAGAAGGAGACAGGCTCTCCGTTTCAGGATCTCATTCTCTAGTTTAGATATTTAGATTAATGAGAAAATGAACCCCAGGCTGAAGACAAACATTAGCACTGCATTGGTCTCTGAGCTACTGCCTTGATGGAATATTATATAGTCATTAAAAATCATGTTTACTAAAATGCATAATGAGATGGCAAAATGCTTACACTATCATGTTAAATGAGAAAAGCAGGACATAAAGTGACACAAATATAAGCTCATATGTAAAGCAATATGTGCAGGAGAGAAAAAAACAAAATGTTAGCAGGGGTGTTATTCTTGGTGACAGGAACATAGGTAACTTCTATTCTCTTGTCTATACCTTTCTGTATTTGCCAAATTTTCTACCAGGGCCATGGCCATTGTAATAAGCCAGAAAAGAAGAAGGAGGAGGAGGAGCAAGAGCAGGAGGAGGAGGGAGGGGGGAA